TGGCCCTGACATGTTTCATTATATTCTGACCGACTATTCGGCATTTAACTCACACAATCATGCTAGCCGAGTTTTTTTAATCCTGGAATCAATTTTGGCGACCCTGAGATTTTTCTACAATTTAAAGTTAATTACCACTCGCACGCCTTGGTGCCATTGCTGCTTTACTGCTTATTGATAATCTTGCGTTCTTCGAGAATGTGATAATCCACAATCACGCAAAGAAAAAACATTGCTTTCTTATCTTCTAATGATGCAGGCTTAAAGATCCTCCTCTTAAAGGATGGTTTGGTAAGACGCAGCCATCGACGGATATGTTAATCAAGTGTTAAGAAAGTTTCATTAATGAGGATGCTTGTGAATGCCGATCAATGTCCAGGATGTCGTTATGGGAGAGGTATTGTACAAAGGTAATGGGAGTTGTTGATAACGCTGTGCATGTTGAGGTGGTTGTGGTACAACCTCATGTGTGCATGAAGGTCATTTGACGTCGCTGTCTGCAACACTCCAACAATAACGCGACGTTTTGCAAAAGAAAAAGGGGTCATACAAAATACACAGGTGATTGACAGTGTGAGTATTGGTCAAGGGCATCGCAGCACGACTACACGTGCACGGATGCCATAGCAACATGTCTTCGTCCATTAACTTGTCAGGTTCCCCTCGTCCTCGTCAGTTCCTGCATGATGGTGTGTGGACCTGTGCATAGAGTTCAGGTCACAAATCTGTTGAGTGAGTGAGTGAGTTTAGTTTTACGCCGCACTCAGCAATATCCCAGCTATATGTTCTGTAAATAATCGAGTCTGGACCAGACAATCCAGTGATCAACAGCATGAGCATCGATCTGCGCAATTGGGAACCGATGACATGTGTCAACCAAGTCAGCGAAACTGACCACCCGATCCCGTTAGTCGCCTCTTACGACAAGCATAGTCTCCTTTTATGGCAAGCACATGGGTTGCTGAAGACCTAGTCTACCCCGGATCTTCACGGGTCACAAATTTGTTGAAGTTAGCAACGTTGGGCGCGGAGAGTCCTTGGATGGGTGACTCCTGAGAGTTTGTTCGAATTCATTCCTCCCCCACAATGAAGCACATGTGATACACGTGGTCTCACCTTAGGCAATTGAGTTTGCTCAAAACTGCCACTGTTATCCAGCAGAATATGGGTACCTAGTGGGATAAGTCATGAGAATATTAACCTTCTTGCGCCTCAGCTTGGGTTATCCGGGGTAATAATAATCTGGAAATCTTCTACATTATGCTGGAAACTTTCTCTCTGGTCTTTCTCTCAGATGTTGATATTCAAGCTTTTATGATTTTGATGACGATGATGTTGGTAACACCAAGGGCCGTTACCGTATTTTCATGGCGACTGTGTGTGGGTGGGATACGTATTTCGCTACCTTATAATCACGACACTCTACTGAGCGCCTTTCACGTTGTGAACATATGTAGGCAGGAAATTAATACCATCTCAGAAATCGGTACACAAAGAATGACTTGATTGATACCAGCATTAATGTTTCACTCTGGTTCGTTACTTTCGCTTGTGTGGGAGTTACAATTGTGTCACGTCCTTGTGTCTCGTCCGTGTGTCACGCCTTTGTGTCACGTCCGTGTGTCACGCCCTTGTGTCACGTCCTCAGTTGTCACGTCCGTGTGTAACGTCCGTGTGTCACGCCCTTGTGTCACGTCTTTGTGTCACGCCCTTGTGTCACGTCCGTGTGTCACGTCCTTGTGTCACGCCCTTGTGTCACGTCCTCAGTTGTGTCACGTCCGTGTGTCACGTCCTTGCGTCACGTTGCGACGTGCCAGCCTGTTGTGTCACTTCATTTGTGTCACGTTCTTGTATCACGTTCATGTGTCACGTCATTGTTTAATACTATTTTTGAACGCCCTCAGCACGCTGTTGCCAATTATTTGAGTTACAGAATAGCGCCACATCCTTACGTCACTCCCTTGTGTCACGTCGTCGTACTACTTCATTTGTGTCATGTATTTTCTTGGCCTTCTTTCAATTCCTTGACTTACAGACGTGTTACACGCCCTTACATCACGTTGCGTAGTCACTTCTTTGTGTCAAATCATTGTTTTACTTCTTTTCTTTCATGCCATTGTCACTTATAAATAATAGGTTTCGGAATTCTACCACGTCCTTGTGTCAAGTTCTTGAGTATCACATTGCTGCGTGCCTGTTTGTCACTTTCTTACATGAATGTGTATTTGATTTGTAAATTCAATAATTATTTACAGTTTTGAAACAGTGTGATATTATCCGTGAACATCCGGATTAGAAATCGTCTTCAGCAACCCATGTCTGTTGAAAGAGGCGACCAACAGGAACGGTTGGTCAGACTCGTTGACTTTGTTGGCACATCGATACGTAGATCGATGCTCATGCTGTGGATCACTGGATTATTTGATCCAGACTTGAATATTTACAAAACCCCGATATAAAGCTGCAATAATGCTGAGTGGGGCGTTATTTTATTTGCACTTTATAATGGAAGGTTTCTTCTTCATTATATGCACCCCGTAAGAAATACGTGAGCAGAAATCGACAGATGCCTATTCAGTTATTCTATCTCAACGTTAGTGTCTAACTTGATAACGTTCGTCTTGGGAGTCAGACATGGTTGTCTGCGAACCATCACATGTAGGGCCGCTTATCTTTCAATACAGACAAAGGCAGAACATATAGCATCGAAAACAACATTCTCTTCACTTTTTACACCTCGGTAAGTGAGACGATGACGTCATTTCCTGTTCCCCTGCAGGGCCATGGTGCGTTGATGACATATCTAGCATTAAGAGCACTCTCTCCGCACCTACTGCCAACAGATGCTCACTGAGATTGGTGCCGAATAAATGCATCAGTTCCAGGAAGTATTGCCAGCGGGGGCCAAACCTGCTCCATCTTCCGATCTGATCTGCTCAGTGGGAAAGAAACCTGGATCACTTTACACGATGGAAATCCTGTTTCCGCATCCTAACCGATTCACGTTTTATAGAAATGTTTTTATTGAAATTGTCCTTTGATGGGTTAAAAGAATTTGGGGTCTTCAAAAATATTGTTACACATCGTCTGTGTGAATACTCTGTTAGTTCGAAGTCAACTTGTCAGTTACACATACATTTCATTGGCTCGTATCCATTTTACTATTGTAAGAATACTACTGTAAACGTTTGATGTGGGACCCTCTTACTCAATTTACCGGAATTACAATGTGTGTTTTAATCTGTTTTGTAGTTTCAACTACCCAGCATACAGTTATGTGTTTTCATGTTTAGGGTATTTTTGGCGTATACTTAATAATCTGAAAGAAACAGTGTTTGTTGTCGTTGTAATTACAATAGGTTAATTTAGCCTTCTCTTTTTAGTTTTCCGTAAGCAGTGGTTAATATATGTGACATCAGTCAAATATGTCGTCGTAATACAATGAACTGATAGATTTACTGATATTATCACGCATTTCCGTATACTACTACCATTACCAACACATATGCACGCCATCATCACCACAACAACCACCACGTTGTCAGCAACGACAGCCACCACCACCACATTGCCACACCATCACCACAACAACCACCATGTTGTCAGCAACGACAGCTACCACCACCACATTGCCACACCATCACCACAACAACAACCACCTCGTTGTCAGCAACGACAGCTACCACCACCACATTGCCACACCATCACCACAACAACCACCATGTTGTCAGCAACGACAACCAACACCGCCATATTGCCACAACATCACCACCACAACAACCACCACGTTGTCAGCAACGACAACCACCACCACCATATTGCCACACCATCACCACCTCAACAACCACCACGTTGTCAGCAACGACAGCCACCACCACCACATTGCCACACCATCACCACCACAACAACCACCACGTTGTCAGCAACGACAGCCACCACCACCACATTGCCACACCATCACCACCACAACAACCACCATGTCAGCAACGACAACCACCACCACCATATTGCCACACCATCACCACCACAACAACCACCACGTTGTCAGCAACGACAACCACCACCGCCATATTGCCACACCATCACCACCACAACAACCACCACGTTGTCAGCAAAGACAACCACCACCACCACATTGCCACACCATCACCACCACAACAACCACCTCGTTGTCAGCAACGACAACCACCACCACCATATTGCCACACCATCACCACCACAACAACCACCACGTTGTCAGCAACGACAACCACCACCACCATATTGCCACACTATCACAACCACAACAACCACTACGTTGTCAGCAACGACAACCACCACCACCACATTGCCACAACATCACCACCACAACAACCACCATGTCAGCAACGACAACCACCACCACCATATTGCCACAACATCACCACCACAACAACCACCACGTTGTCAGCAACGACAGCCACCACCACCACATTGCCACAACATCACCACCACAACAACCACCATGTCAGCAGCGACAACCACCACCACCATATTGCCACAACATCACCACCACAACAACCACCACGTTGTCAGCAACGACAGCTACCACCACCACATTGCCACACCATCACCACCACAACAACCACCATGTCAGCAACGACAACCACCACCACCACATTGCCACACCATCACCACCACAACAACCACCTCGTTGTCAGCAACGACAACCACCACCACCATATTGCCACACCATCACCACCACAACAACCACCATGTCAGCAACGACAACCACCACCACCACATTGCCACACCACCACCACCACCACCACTACCTCCACCACTAGTGGTTAAAGCGTTGGCTCGTCACGTCACGTTCGAATCCCCACATGGGTACAATGTGTGAAGCCCATTTCTGGTGTCCCCCGCCGTGATGTTGCTGGAATATTGCTAAAAGCGGCGTAAAACCAAAACTCAGTCAGTCAGTCAGTCAGTTCTTCTGTAATGTATGTGTCTCAGACTGAGATGCTTGTGTTCCCCAGATTCACAAAGAGGTTGGAGTCCACCGGAAGGCCTATTGGTGCATCAAGGAGTGGCACCCGCCCGTGTTCAGCATCCTGTTTGAGATGTACATGTTCATCATGATGTTCTTCATCCCCATCTGCTTCATGGTGGTCGCCTACACCTTCATCTGCGTAGAGGTCTGGAAGGTGGCCGGCATGCGGGCTAGTATGAGATCAGGGAGGTGAGTTGGCGTTTGTGTAACGGTCTGGAAGCTGAATGGATGTCTGTATGGAGCTCTAGAAGCTGAGCGGATGTCTGTATGGAGGTCAAGAAGCTGAGTGGGTGTCTGTATGGAGGTCTGGAAGCTGAGTGGATGTCTGTATGGAGGTCTGGAAGTTGAGTGGGTGTCTGTATGGAGGTCAAGAAGCTGAGTGGATATCTGTATGGAGGTCTGGAAGTTGAGTGGGTGTCTGTATGGAGGTCAAGAAGCTGAGTGGATATCTGTATGGAGGTCAAGAAGTTGAGTGGGTGTCTGTATGGAGGTCAAGAAGTTGAGTGGATATCTGTATGGAGGTCAAGAAGTTGAGTGGATATCTGTATCGAGGTCAAGAAGCTGAGTGGATATCTGTATGGAGGTCTGGAAGCAGAGTGGGTGTCTGCATGGAGGTCAAGAAGCTGAGTGGATATCTGTATGGAGGTCAAGACGCTGAGTGGATATCTGTATGGAGGTCTAGAAGTTGAGTGGGTGTCTGTATGGAGGTCAAGAAGCTGAGTGGATATCTGTATGGAGGTCAAGAAGTTGAGTGGATATCTGTAAGGAGGTCAAGAAGTTCAGTTGATATCTGTATGGAGGTCTGGAAGCTGAGTGGGTGTCTGTATGGAGGTCTGGAAGTTGAGTGGGTGTCTGTATGGAGGTCTGGAAGCTGAGTGGATATCTGTATGGAGGTCAAGAAGTTGAGTGGATATCTGTAAGCAGGTCAAGAAGTTGAGTGGATATCTGTATGGAGGTCAAGAAGTTCAGTTGATATCTGTATGGAGGTCTGGAAGCAGAGTGGGTGTCTGTATGGAGGTCTGGAAGTTGAGTGGGTGTCTGTATGGAGGCCTGGAAGCTGAGTGGGTGTCTGTATGGAGGTCTGGAAGTTGAGTGGGTGTCTGTATGGAGGTCAAGAAGTTGAGTGAATGTCTGTATGGAGGTCTGGAAGTTGAGTGAGTGTCTGTATGGAGGTCTGGAAGTTGAGTGGGTGTCTGTATGGAGGCCTGGAAGCAGAGTGGATGTCTGTATGGAGGTCAAGAAGTTGAGTGGGTGTCTGTATGGAGGCCTGGAAGCTGAGTGGATGTCTGTATGGAGGTCTGGAAGCAGAGTGGGTGTCTGTATGGAGGCCTGGAAGCTGAGTGGGTGTCTGTATGGAGGTCTGGAAGCTGAGTGGGTGTCTGTATGGAGGCCTGGAAGCAGAGTGGATGTCTGTATGGAGGTCTGGAAGCAGAGTGGGTGTCTGTATGGAGGTCTGGAAGTTGAGTGGATGTCTGTATGGAGGTCTGGAAGTTGAGTGGGTGTCTGTATGGAGGTGTTGAAGCAGAGTGGGTGTCTGTATGGAGGTCTGGAAGCTGAGTGGATGTCTGTATGGAGGTGTTGAAGCAGAGTGGGTGTCTGTATGGAGGCCTGGAGGCTGAGTGGATGTCTGTATGGAGGTGTTGATGCAGAGTGGGTGTCTGTATGGAGGTCTGGAAGCTGAGCGGATGTCTGTATGGAGGTCTGAAGGCTGAGTGGGTGTCTGTATGGAGGTGTTGAAGCAGTGTGGGTGTCTGTATGGAGGTGTTGAAGCAGAGTGGATGTCTGTATGGAGGTCTGGAAGCAGAATGGATGTCTGTATGGATGCCTGGAAGTTGAGTGGATGTCTGTATGGAGGTCTGGAATCTGAGTGGGTGTCTGTATGGAGATGTTGAAGCAGAGTGGGTGTCTGTATGGAGGTGTTGAAGCAGAGTGGATGTCTGTATGGAGGCCTGGAAGCTGAGTGGATGTCTGTATGGAGGTCTGGAAGCAGAGTGGGTGTCTGTATGGAGGTTAGGAAGCTGAGTGGGTGTCTGTATGGAGGTTAGGAAGCAGAGTGGGTGTTTGTATGGAGGTTAGGAAGCAGAGTGGATGTCTGTATGGAGGCCTGGAAGTTGAGTGGGTGTCTGTATGGAGGCCTGGAAGCTGAGTGGATGTCTGTATGGAGGTCTGGAAGTTGAGTGGGTGTCTGTATGGAGGCCTGGAAGCTGAGTGGGTGTCTGTATGGAGGTCTGGAAGCAGAGTGGGTGTCTGTATGGAGGCCTGGAAGCTGAGTGGGTGTCTGTATGGAGGTCTGGAAGCTGAGTGGGTGTCTGTATGGAGGTCTGGAAGTTGAGTGGATGTCTGTATGGAGGTCTGGAAGTTGAGTGGGTGTCTGTATGGAGGCCTGGAAGCAGAGTGGGTGTCTGTATGGAGGCCTGGAAGCTGAGTGGATGTCTGTATGGAGGTTAGGAAGTTGAGTGGGTGTCTGTATGGAGGTGTTGAAGCAGAGTGGGTGTCTGTATGGAGGTGTTGAAGCAGAGTGGATGTCTGTGTGGAGGCCTGGAAGCTGAGTGGGTGTCTGTATGGAGGCCTGGAAGCTGAGTGGATGTATGTATGGAGGTCTGGAAGCAGAGTGGGTGTCTGTATGGAGGCCTGGAAGCTGAGTGGGTGTCTGTATGGAGGTCTGGAAGTTGAGTGGGTGTCTGTATGGAGGTCTGGAAGCAGAGTGGGTGTCTGTATGGAGGTCTGGAAGTTGAGTGGATGTCTGTATGGAGGTCTGAAAGTTAAGTGGGTGTCTGTATGGAGGTGTTGAAGCAGAGTGGGTGTCTGTATGGAGGCCTGGATGCTGAGTGGGTGTCTGTATGGAGGTCTGGAAGCAGAGTGGGTGTCTGTATGGAGGTCTGGAAGCTGAGTGGGTGTCTGTATGGAGGTCTGGAAGTTGAGTGGGTGTCTGTATGGAGGCCTGGAAGCTGAGTGGGTGTCTGTATGGAGGTCAAGAAGTTGAGTGAATGTCTGTATGGAGGTCTGGAAGTTGAGTGGGTGTCTGTATGGAGGTCTGGAAGTTGAGTGGGTGTCTGTATGGAGGCCTGGAAGCAGAGTGGATGTCTGTATGGAGGTCAAGAAGTTGAGTGGGTGTCTGTATGGAGGCCTGGAAGCTGAGTGGGTGTCTGTATGGAGGTCAAGAAGTTGAGTGAATGTCTGTATGGAGGTCTGGAAGTTGAGTGAGTGTCTGTATGGAGGTCTGGAAGTTGAGTGGGTGTCTGTATGGAGGCCTGGAAGCAGAGTGGATGTCTGTATGGAGGTCAAGAAGTTGAGTGGGTGTCTGTATGGAGGCCTGGAAGCTGAGTGGGTGTCTGTATGGTGGTCTGGAAGCAGAGTGGATGTCTGTATGGAGGTTGGCGGAAGGTGGCCGGCATGATGGCCAGTATAAGATCAGAGAGGTGAGTTGGCGTATGTGTGGACATCTGAAGATGACTTAGCGTCTGTACGGAGGTCTGCAAGATGATGGAAACTTGAGAATCTTGAATGAAAGATAAGGGACCTGTGTAAACATTTTCTCCAACGGAACAAACGACCCTGCTGTAATTCCTAACACGTCATTCCACTTCTAGGGTGATCTCGACAGCGCCATGTCACTACCGGAGCCATGACGTCCGATGGGAAAACCACGACGCCAGCACGCCTCTCACCAGCCACGGCATTCAAAGAAAACCAAAGAAGACATTCTCGGATGACAATGTGGTCAGAAAACAGGTAGGATTTCCGGCGTTGCTCTGTGTCAACTCAACTTCATTTCCTTTGAAAAAAACTAAGTAAGTCGGTAACGCTGAGCTTAGCGATATTCCAGGAATACCACGGTCGTGTACCAGAAAAGGGCTTCACACATTGCACCAGTTTGGGAATCGAACCCCGGACAAGCGAAGGTTTTAACCTCTGTACTACCTCCTCGCCGCTGAAAGACAAACCGTCCACACTTTTACATGCCAATAGAGATCAATGTTATACTTGAATTATACGTAACATTCTGTTCTAATCAGAATATATAACATTCTGTTCTAATCAGAATGCCTATTAAACGTTATGTTCTGTTCAGAATACATATGTACTATTCTGTTCTGTTCAGAATAGGTAACATTCTGTTCAGAATATGAAACATTCTGTTCTCATCAGAATACGTATTAAACCTTATGTTATGTAACACAATATGCATACAATTCTGTTCTAATCTGAATACGTATTAAACGTTATGTTCAGAATACGTAATATTCTGTTCTATTCAGAATATGAAACATTCTTTTCTAATAAGATTACGTATTAAACCTTATTTTATGTTCAGAACACAGTATGCATAACATTCTGTTCTAATCTGAATACGTATTAAACGTTATGTTCAGAATACGTAACATTCTCTTCTGTTTTGAATATGAAACATTCTGTAAACCTGGCTATAAATCATGAAAAGGCCTCAAATAAAGTAACCATTATATGTGAGCATAACGACGTCAATGGCTTGAAGAACTTTATATACGTCACGTGATGCCACAATTGGGGCCATTATGATAAGAGGTATTCTGTCAAGACCAGGCATATGTACTATCAACTTTTGACTTGACTATAAAAAGTGAAGTTGTGCCCATTCCTCTTTTTAATGCTTTAAAAAAAAGCAAGTACAATGAGATATCCTGCTGGATCCTGCAAATGTACCCCCAACTCCTTGCCTCAGAGGTTATCCATAACCCTTATTGCAAACAAGGAAGAACTGCATTCACTTTATGGATGCTCATGCTGTTGATCACTGGATAGTCTGGTCCAGACTGTTTACAGACCGCCACCATATAGCTGGAATACTGCGGTGTTAAAAAACTAACCAACCTTAATTGTATTAAGAATTAGGGTGAATATTTAGGAGTCAGACGTCCTTTTGCTTCAACCTGCATGTATCTCGCTTTCCACTGATTTTATGAAGCTATAGAAACCAAACCAAACCAATCCTTCATCTTCACGAAGACAAGCGGAATCAATACCTCTTGAATTCTCAAAACGGATTTCCTTGATTTTTTGCAATCTCAGAAAAGAAGTTCAATTCAGTCAATACAATACTTTTACTCGTACACCAGTATTGATCCCACATGAGAAACGTAAGGCCAAGAAAATGGTAACCGTCGATAAATTACATAACTATCCCCAGATTCGTGAAAATATGTGAAAATTGAAAGTAAATGCCATCTGAAGTTTACTGACAAAAATGTGTTAAAAGCTGGACTCACTGATATCAGCAATAAACAAATTAAATTTGGGGGCAAGAAGTTAAAGGGAAGACGTGAGCATCCTCATCTGCACCAACTGTACTCCCCTTCTTTTCATCCTGTTTCTTTGTACATATGAATTATTTCTCTTTGGATTGCCAAAGTGAAAACAAGTAATTGTGCGAAGAGGGATTACATCCTCGGAAATATAGATTCCCTTCCACTGATTTACCCACCTACACTAGAAAAAAAGGGAGACCAGTGATACCGCCTTGGCTTATCCACTTCATGATGAGCGCGTTGCAGAGAAATAACAAGTACCATCATATAATGTATTTTCATATGACGCGGTTTGGGATCGAACCCCGACCTTGCGTTCTCTGGGAATCGTCCTGTCTTCTACACCGCGAAGGTGTTGAACTTGAATGTTGATAAACCGACTGTGTAGCATCTTACCACATGGTATGATTGATGCTCACCATATCGACCACTAGTTTTATTGACAAGTGAAGAGAAATCTCTTACAAGCCAACGTGATGTTATTTAGAAACCCACAAATGTATGCTAAGATGGGGTGGGATAGGAATGGCGTGGATTTATTTGAAGAAAGTGTTTCAATATCTAAATAAAAATAATTTAGGCTTTGGTTGATGAGAAAACTTTCTTATCGCTACGTCTGGTTGCAACATTTACTCACAGTAAGCTGATCCTGGTATCGATTGTATTCACTTTCATTCCTTCAGCAAACGGTGTCTAATGATTGATAATGGAACTGATTTTGCCATAAAAATTAAACATAAATGCCTTGTTCATTTCATCGCACAAGTGATGCCATAGAAAACAAGACGATCTGTTTTTTTACACAGGTTTTGGCAGTTCGCTGTTACAGCCACTCTTTAAAAAATACTAACTTTTTCTGACATGGCATTTGTTTCTTTAGACATTGATTATATCGAGTCGAGGGAACCTCGCATTTCACGCCTGTGGCTATAATCAGACTACAACTTCGATTCCTTGTAACGATCTCCTAAATTCACCAGCCATGCAGACATTCGGGAAGAAATGCAATGCCCACGTGACATTAACCGGAAGTTAATGACTGTGTTTGACACTAGGCTTCATGGCCATTAGGTGCCAACCTCAGTTGGGGTAGAAGTCTCTTCATTAGGTTCATTTACCGCGAACATGAAGTGATTGTGGTGTCAGTAAATCGTTGTGGCCGATACTTCGTTGATCACGCAGAGGTCCTCAACAAGTGGCCCTTCATTCTCCATTGAGAGGCGGGGTAAATCCATAAACTTGAGTGAGTGAGTTTAGTTTCACGCCGGAGATGAGGGTCAGTCCGAGCATATCATGAGCACATGTCTATGATAATGATTAGTGATGAAACCAGATGTTCGAGAAATACCGATTGCGCCTGTCACAAACACATGCAAAGGCAAGTCAATTGTTCACCTGAAAAAAAAAACACGGAAATCACGATACAGGTGGAAATAGGGATCTGCATCGGTTACACGCATGGAAACGTTCAGGGTTTCATCGTGAATCAAAGTGCTGCCTAATCTCAAAACGAAATTTTCGGTATCGCCCAGTTCATATTCATCATGGGTATTTCTGTATGTCCTAACTGGAAGGTAGATGTTTAACGCAGTCGACGTATGTAGGTCACGTGTTGTGACAGGTCTTCCGTTCTTATGGCATCTCTTCATAGTTTCTTTTCAACCGTGTCAATAAATTCAGTGGTTGACCAGTGCTGTCAGCAATTCTGAACATCAATAATGGCTCTCAAAACCTAAAGATAATAACGACGAAGCAGGGTAGGAAACTCCCAAAAATTTCAGATGTAAAACCTGCCAGCCCTGACCAAAACTTACCTGCCCACAAAATATCCTCATATACATGTCTAAATTTTAACCCGACCGTCGGGCAGGTGAATTTGTGGATCTGGCAGTCCGTGTTGAAAATAACCCGTTCCGGGCGGTCGGGCAGGGAGGTATTTCGAACGCTGGTGTTCAGTGTCCTGTTTACCAGTATCCATTTGTGAAAACAACTTACAATACGACACTAAGTATATAACTAAGCTCTATTGAAACGTTATCATGGCGTGCCATTAAATCACCCATCCTGACCACCCAATCCACAATGAGTATAGACTGCTTGGGACCAATCCCAACCCAAAACCCTTTGTAGTAGCGAAGGGTGGGGGGATAGCCTAGTGGTTAAAGCGTTCGCTCGTCACGTCGAAGACGATTTCCCACATGTGTACAATGTGTGAAGCCCATTTTTCGGTGTCCCCCGCCGTGATATTGCTGGAATATTGCTAAAAGCGGCGTAAGACCTAAGTCACTCAATCAGTCACGCCGAGTCACGACTTTCGACTTTCGACGTCAGGGTTCTTTATTACAATAGGGGCGGTGAGGTAGCCTAGTGGTTAAAGCGTTGGCTCGTCACGCAGAAGACCCGGGTTCGAATCCCGACATGGGCACAATGTGTGAAGCCCATTTCTGGTGTTCCCCGCCGTGATGTTGCTGGAATATTGCTAAAAGCGGCGTAAAACCAAATTCAGTCAGTCAGTCAGTATTTCAACAATATCTCATTAGACTTTTAATTATCGCAATATTTAAATAGCAAATGCCCTCGATAGACAGTTCTCCATCGAGAGACAGTGGTAACAGTGTGTCTTTTTCTCACACGGGAGGTCCTGGTTCGATTCCCAGTACGGATACAAAGAATGAAACCATTATTGGTGTGCGCCGTGGCATTGCTATATCGATGCGGTGTAAAATAAAACTCATTCACCTCCAACTCCAACTGAACACCATTTAGATGGTAGGCCGAGGAAAGCATATATGAACAGAATCAAATATCTTTTCAATTTTTTAAAATATTTTTCCCTTCGAACACTGATGCATAAAGGCCAACATTCACTCGGAAGGGGTGATTTAATCTGCTCCGCCCAAGGCCTGCGTGTATACAGATGACACCCTACATACTCCCAGCGTTGAAGGATGACGTTATCAGTGACATCTTATCTTAAGTGTAGACAACGTTGTTAGTGTACCTTTCTGCATGATGATGTCAAGGTCATTTTTTCGAAGTCATAAATTTAAATCCTGACACGATAAAACCTAGTATATTTCATTATGAAGACAGGAAATACTAGTTTTTAATCATTAATGTACAGCTATAGTTCCTTATACAAGCGTGAAATCGTAGAATATTTTTCACTTAAGACGCCGTTGTAACAAATTAAAACAGGCGCAAAGAGGTGCAAAGAATAAAGTAGTTGAAAGCTGGTCAACTCGGATAAAAAGAAAAAAAGCATGTATCGTTAAGAAACATGACAATCAATAATTATCCTTTGCTATGAAAAGAATCGAATATCTTTTTATAATTTTTAAACGTTTATGATATTTTGTTTCAAAAGTGTTTTTGTTGCAGCGAAATGCAAACGTGTTGACGCTGTACATATACTACTCACATTTTGATAAGGATCACACAAATTCA